CCAAAGTGTACAAGTTTTGGTTTCTTAATTCTCATACTCAATCATTAGGTATTATTTACTGTTCCATAGTATAAAAAATGCATTTATTATAATTTAATCTATCATTCTAGCTTGTTTATTTCAATTAACAAATATCATTTGATTTGAACACTGAATGATACTCAGTTTATTCAAGTTTCATTCAAACCTATCAATATTACTCACTCTGTTTGATAATGATGATGATGATGATGTACAGAATATGCTTGAAATGTGGATCAAATTTCGTTTTCTTCACACTTTATCACTTCAACAATAATGTATGATCAGTGAATATGATGTAAAGTGATGGAATTACGTCATTGGTAGAATGATAGACAGTTAATAACCTTGTTTTATCATAGAACAATCAACTATTAAATAATAAGAGTCTATGGTAGTCAATCATTTTAAATGACACAACAAGTTCCAACAGAGCAAACATTGTACATGTGAATTCATCAACATTAAACAGTTATTTACATTTCAAGTCTTGGCTAGTATATATACAGATTGCTTTGACATTAGTCGTTATGATAAATATTAGTAAGGAATAGATGAATCACAGCTACTAATAGAATTTCGGATAGGTGTTTCGTCTTATTCAGGATTCTTCAGCTAGATGTACTTGTTGTTAGGTTAATATTTATTCTGGGACTGAAACTCGAGTAGCATTTCTTTTAAACACTGGCGCTTTCCAGTTTACTATGAAGTAAGGATGATTGCTCTCTTGTGTAAGCTTGAGTCTAAATATCAACAAACGGACAATGGAATTAAAACTCAGATTGATTATGAAATTCAGTGTTTAACTGACTCACATCCACCTAACACATCTTCAACGAACTGTTTCTCATTCGAACCGTAACAATGCCATCTAGAAAAAAATGACCCATGAGTACAGGATTATTGGTAATATATAAGGTTTTTTTGCCCATAAAGCAAAACATTCGCATTTCAGCAACTGATGGTATAATCCCATGGTATATACTGATAAGAAGTCACACACACACACACACTAAGTCTAAACAACTGTCTAGTTCTTCTTAAGTTCAATCAATAATGTAATCTGTAAAAATTTGACTTTTTGCTATTTATTTACTACACAAAGTACTTTTTATCAACATTTAATTCACGATTTTGTAGGTGTATTTTTTCAAATTAAAGTAGTTTTTAGTCATATTTTGAAAACTGAACAAACTTTTGACGTACATCAATTTAATGTATATCTCTTCCAAAAAAAAATGATTATGGGTCCAGTTTTTCTTGTTTCCAACGCATTTTATGTTGTCTGTCTCCTATTTTTTGTAAATGATAGACAATAGTGTAAAGATTAACACTATTGTGATGCTATTGTTTAAAGTAGTGAATTTGTGGTTAAGGAGTGTTAATTTAAGCCACTAGACTTCAGGTTCGAACCCAGAGTCATGTGGTTTGCTTGTAAGAATGGGATTAATCTCATTAGTCATCATACTAAGAGTGTGGTTTATACTCAATGACTTTGCGACTGATCATTCCTCTTGAGATTTTGAGTAATTACATTTACGTCAGGTTGTTAAAATTTAATGAAAATTGCGTAAGTACCAAATGTTAGCCGGACATAATTTATAAAATTTTATAATTTGAGTAAACTGCCAAAATGTTTGTTTGTTTATGTACAAAATTCAAGTGATAGCATTCTATTTTGATGCTTACAGTTCAACACAAAACTTATGGGATTCGGAATAATTGACCTATGATTGGAATCGATAACTGCAATTAGCACATAACACTTTAATATTTAAGCACTAACGTTTGACCAATATCATATGACAAATAAAAAGCACCAATCAGAACTACACGTTAGCACCTGAGTCAGCTCCAAAATCCTTATTGGTCCAAAAAACACTCGATAGCTTCTTTCTGTCTACTCTACCTACCTCTTAGTCCAATAGTCCCTAAATCAGATTTCACAAAAATTACTATGTATTTCAAGCAGACAGCTCATATACCAAACATAGCAGATCACGTCATACCATAAAATGCGGAAAGACACTTATATATGGGCAAGTCAAAGAAGGCTGTGAATAAGAGAACTGGCAAAAGATTAGGGTTAATAAATCACACGATATTAATTGATGGTTTAATCAAAAGCCGATGATAAAAACATAATAAATCTGTAATAATCTAGTTGCTGAATAAAATTATACAATGAGAACGTGTGTAAAAATCATAATAATAGTAATAATAATAATAATGCATATGTTAGCCATAGGAGTTACTATTTCTTTAATCTCCCATTGGATATCGTTATTATATGTACACTAGATTACCATTTGGTCACGCTTCAGTGTGAAGAAATGTGAGTTCAGTATACTGGGAATGAGAGATTTATGTATATTCTAAATACTTTAGAAACAATTGATTGATGAATCTTTTGTAGAATGTTGTGGTGTTTCGTCCTCTGAGCTGGATATTTTGGTTGTGAAGCTTTCAAGAGAGCGAAGACACATTGCAGCACATACGAAACATTAAAAAAACGAGGAGAAACACCTGATGACTATCTTCCAAAAGAACGGCTATCCACGCAACTTCATCAAGAAACATCAACCAAAACTATCATCAGAAGTGAAATCAAGCACAGGAACAAATAAACGCATCATCCTACCATACATCAAAGACATATCAGAGCATACGGCACGACTACTGAAACGATTTGGAATAGGTGTGGCACACAAACCAACAGAATCACTTCAGTCAGTCCTATGTAGACCAAAGGACAAAATGACAAAGGAAGAAAAACCAAATATCATCTACAAAATAAACTGCTCAAACTGTGAAAAACACTACATAGGACAAAGTGGACGACCTATTCAGCTCCGTTTACGTGAACATCAGTTAGCAGTCAAACGCCACGACAACGCTTCGCTTATATCAATACACACCGACAATTATGGACACACATTTGATTGGAACAACGTGGAAATACTAGGTAGGGGGAGGACAAAGAACACTAGAGAATTTTTAGAAGCTTGGCACTCAGGTCAATTCGCAATCAACAAACACATCGACATTGACCCAATTTATCAACCAATCAGGAAAATCATAGGTGACACTAGATCAAGAAACAGATCAAAAGAGGGAGGCAATCAAAACATAGTTGCAAACAACGACTGGTCAAAGGTCAACAGCAACCAATCAAGATCGAGGTTAGCAGAACAAGCTACAGGTCAAACATGGAGAAATTCTTATGCTTCACTTCTACCTGAAGTTCGTGCTGATGATGTTGTTCAGTGGAGGAACAATGAAAACTCCACAACCAAAACAACCAACTCACAAGAACTAAACACCACAACAGTCATCTACTTGAGCTACAAATTTTCATCATCATCATCATCTTTTGTAGAATGTAACCCTCTATTCTAGATTTTCACACTGATATCACTTTGTAATAATTAGTGTAAAAGATCCTTGACATTAAATGTTAATCGAATGTTTTAGTTGTATAAAAAATGAAAAGCAATTGATAGTTGATCAAATTTGTTGATTAATCAGTTGTGATAATCGAATTAATGAAACCAATTTAGACAAACAATTCACCTGCAATCTGATAATTCAATCTTAAGTGAAGAAATTATGAATGAAGCATGCTGATAAGAATGATTTATGGTGTTTCAGTTAATCATTTTCTTATTTTTATCAGTATGATAATTGTCGATGATTTATGTATTTGGTCATTTATGTTGTTAATTAAAATTTTTTTTTCTGGTCATTACTCTTTTTTTATTTCTGTCATTAATAATTAGTCTGGTGTATAAAAAAAAAGTAATTATTTTAGAAAAAATATTGCAAAATAGTGTATTTCAGTAGCTTAGTATATAGAAAGAGAGAGAGAGAGGGATAGTTGAATTACATTTAATATATGAACATCAGCATTCAGTTATATTAGTCATTCAGTCAACTACAAGGTAGAACTTTGTACGTACATAAATCATCAGTCCAAGTTGCCATACCAAATTAACACAAACAGAGATCGAATATTCAATTCAAATTCCATAGTAGTAGGAGTAGAAGTAGTATTATCAGTAATCAAAAAGATCAATGATTGAAGATATCATTCGAGAAGTACATCCCAAAAGAATGACGAACTGAGAAGATAGGAATTTGAGAGAATACAAAGAATTGATGCATGTGCGTCATTGCAAATGATTTTGATCCATGTCATTCGAGGTCTATAACCATCGATTGTGATTGTCTCGCGCCCCCCAACTAGGTAGTCTACACTTACCAGTCGTCAATGACTTCATGGACTTGTGCCATGTTTGGCTTAGCCGCCAATGGCTTCATTCCAGCCTACCTCAACACCACTAAACATAGCTCGTCGAGGGAGTTGGTGGTAGGGTATTCGTAACACACGTCCCAACTAACTCAACTAATGAAAATTCACTACTTCATCCATTGAACTGTCATCCTTACCTTGTAGCATCCGTTGCCTAAGCCCAGAATTGCTTACTCTATGTTTCCAGGATATACAAGCAATAATTTAAGGGCACCCATGATCTCAAACCAGTAACCTATGAATATTCTCCACTACTCCTGGCCATGTTTCACAACCAAATATTAGGATTAAGTTATATGAATATTAGTAAGCAATTGGTAATTATGCACTGTCGAATTTACTATCATTATCATCAGAGATAGATGCTGGTTAGCAGTGGAATCTAGGACTTATCTGTAGCTAGATGTAGCTGAATATTAACATGGGACGAAACATCCGTTCAGGATTCCGCTTGAAAATGCTTGTGAATTAGTGGAAATATTGAAGTATTTCGTACAGCATCAACATATTCAAAAAGAGAAACTGATCAAATGCACTCCTAAAAAACAACCAATACCATTGAGTCGATCTTAATATAATGTTTTAATTGTAAACATTTGACAAAAGCATCACTTACATATTTTGATCTAAACAATTTTTGTTTCTTCTCTTTTTTCTACTCTAACAGGTATTGTTTCTGTTGACGGTTCATTAATATCACAAGAGATCATTCTTGGTGCTGATCGAAATTATCAAAATACTTTCAAAGGTGTAATTGGTGGTAAGTTGTAATAACATGAAGCAAACAGTTGTTCGTAATTGTTTTCGTCACGAGCAGTTATTGAGTACATACATCACTTACTATTTAACTACCTGAATAATAAATAATAGCTTTATTCAATATTTTGTGTTTAATACAATATGAAATTCTTAGCACAGAATATTTCAACAAGTTACCTTTGACTAAAACAATCAGTAATTATTAGCAGTTGGAAGCAATCAGTTTATTAATCGATATCTTATCAATGTATATTCTTTGCTCAGCAGATCACCGGCCGCTGAAATATCTCACAATGTTGTTCTGTATACCTCGCGAAGCGATAGCTCGTAAACTTTATTATTTAAGCGCTTGAATAGATTATGTGATTAATTGACATAGTTGACGTGGTAAAACAAACGAAAAGAGCAAACTTGCTGGAATATTTTGATCTTAGGTAGAAATCGGTAGCTCAAATATTCAAGCAGGCCTCCATTAACAAACTTTTAAACATGTCAAGACGTATGAAATAACAACAAGACAGAAAAACAAAAACAAAACTATCAAGTTTTATAGGAAATAAATTAGTATAAACTTTAGACTGATAGAATTAAAGATTGATAATATGATTTAAATATTTTCTATTTTTGTATCGGCAATAACTGTTCATTATTAATCAATATACCGAACTGAACTGAATTGAATTCAGTGATCAAGTTTCATTTAACTACCGAATATGAACAACCTGAAACGGTGTTGTTTTTAAAAAATCATTAATCGACCAGTGTTAGGAAATAACCTGGAATCACTGAAAGGCTGTTCCGACATTTGCTCGCAAATGACTAGTTTTTTGAGAAAATTCCCGGGATTCTTGTTATAAGCTGTGACCAGTGGAGTTCAACAATGTCCAGAGTGTGGCAGGTAACCACTAAAAACAAACAGTAAGCTTTCGCGCGTGTTACCCTAGGCTCTGGGTTCGATTCCCACATGAGAGAGTTGTGGATGCACGTAGTTGATGAGTTTCATAATAGGACGAAATGGCCCTCCAGTGCTTCCAGATTTCTTTCGGTGGTCTAACATTAACCGATTGGTGTGTGGCTTAGTCTACCTTTTTTCTTTTGGCTTTTGAAGATTCTAAACCGGAGCTTTCCTTGTGATGTAGTTGAGTGCTTTCCTCAACGTATGTCCTATCCATCACTTTTCTGTATACCTGTATTTTAATGAACTGGTCAAACATTTCTAAGATATGGAACAATATTTTCTGAGTTTCAACTAAGTGAAACTGACAAAAGTAGCTATTTCAGTAGTACTTTTTTTATGAAAAGTAGAACTAAGAGAAATATTTAGAATAAATTTCTCATATTTACAAATAATAAAAAAGTACAAAGTGTCATTATGTTGATCATCGAGAGAATTCAGTTACTTGGTTCGATTATAAATAACTGTATTTCGACTCAGCTGAACCAAATTGCATGATGCAACAAAAAGTACATTAGTTCCATGCCCCCACCCCTTCAATTTTAGGCGCCTACCTTCTTTCAAAATGTAACAACATTAATTCTGATCAGTCGTTTTATTGAAATGATCGATTTTCATGAAAGCTGTGTCTGGAATGCATGTGCATCCAGCTACTGACGAGTCCTCTACAAAAAGGCGAATAAAACATGCCTGTTAGATTCCACTGTTTGAATAAATCAATGATGAAACAAATTGAATTTTGAAATATTTCAATCTAATTTAAAATAATAGAAAATACTGTTTATTTGCATGAACTAAGGTCACAGTTATTTATCATAATTGATGACATAATCTTTTATTTGTTTGTTTGCTTGTTTCGACTAAATTCTCATTCTGTTTATTGAATAGTTTGTATTCTATTCATCTACGTAGTACTTTTCATTTTGCAAAAAAAAAATCAATCACCAAGTCATGTACTTCACTGATATTCTTGAACAAATTTAATTCATCCTATAGAAAATGACCTTAATTTTTCATTAGAAATATGATTATGTAACTTGTAGCATGATTTATGTAGATTAGATAAACTGAGCTGGTTATTTAGCTTTATTTTTAAAAAGAATAGCAAAATGACTTACTTACCTATTAGAACATTTTACTTTTGATGAGAAAGTAATTAAATGTGTTTCTTATTGACAAACTATTGATAAACCACTTGTAATATTACGAAATTAACACTTAAAAGGATTTGACGTTGATCACTGCTCAGCGATTGATCAGAATTGTCAATACAGGAGGTCAGTTCTGGCTTAAAATAGCTTAGTGTTAGCATTTCTGACTGTGAGGCTGCATGATGATATGAGGCTAAATAGGCCAGGCAGTATTAGTTCCTTTAAGATTATCCGTACACTTAGCTGATGAATAGGGCTAATTAACATGAAAACTTGGTCATATATGGCTCAGTGTCGAGTACCTCTAACCTAGCCAGCCTTACATCTTAGTTTAAAGATAAAATACGAAAAATTGTTAAAAAGAAGAAACTACCAACTAATCTTCATCTATCTGAATAATTTAATATAGAATATAATCGAAGGTTAAGAAATACTGTAGTATCGTTTAAGTCTATTAATGCTAATTTTCAACAGTGTGTTCTGAGAAACTTTGCAAGATATTGAATTGATATTCAATCCCTGATTGGTTGACAAATAAGTGGGAGCTTCCGCTGAGACGGAAATATTTGTCTAGATTTTCTGTGTCGCCAAATAGATTAGTTTAATCAGTCTGCACAAAATCTTATTAAGAAAGGTGAAATCCATGAAGTGAGTTTCGTCCTACATGTAACTCGTCTGTAGCAAGATGTACTTGATTTGAACTCTAGTTGTTTGTGCTCCATGAATCTAGACCGGTAGTTTTTGTTTCAAATGCCACCGTGTTGTCCACTCAAATACTTAGTCCCTATAGCCAATCACTTCTCAAGCAGGGAGAAAATTAATGCATTTGTATTGATTATTTGAGTATTCCAATTGATGTTTAAGGCTTGAATTTACCAGTTTCATTGGAATAAGTGCATGCTGTGTAGATTGCCTAAATATTGCCTTTAAGTTTACCTGAGTGGATAAACTGATGACATTAGAAACAAACGTTATTAGGTTCTAGTCCATAAATGGACTTTCACTCAGAGATTCAAGTACATCCATCCAAAAACCACTTCTAACTAGAATGACACATGCGCCTTGGATTCCACTGAAGGTCACTAACCACTTTTGCTAATGCTGCTTGTAACCTGAACGCCATATCCAGGCATGCCACACTGGATGCCCGTCTACCAGGACGACTAATCCTTCGCAGTCGTCAACATCCATTAAGAAGATCCAAATAATCAATATTAATGAACTACATAACATCTCTTCAAATAAACCATTTAATAATTAGTTTGAGCATGATTAAAGTTTGTACCACTGAATAGGTCAGTTTACGAGAGAGTGAAAACAATATCATAATATATTCAACAGGTCAGATTATTATTCAAACTTACTCCTGAAAAAAGATAAAAATTGTACACTCTGAATAATACTTTTTCCTGTACATCTATTCATTAAGTAACTAGCTTCTAGATACATTTTCTTTAAAATTCATTGACTAAAGTAACTGGTAATGGCTGTAAACAAGCAGTTTAGTATTCACTATAAGGTTGTCGAGATTGTTGAGATATTTTGGAGTCAAGTATCGATCAATGTTAGACCACTATTAGAAAATTGGAAGCACTCAACGACCGTTTTATCCTAGTATGGGACCTTTCAACTGTGTGCACCGAAGACTCCCGCTACCTACAGGAATCGAACCTAGGGCTTTCGACCTTGCGCGATACTGATGAGTTCCATACGAAGACGAAACGCCCGTCCTATGCTTCTAGATTTCGAATGATGGTCTAACAGTGATCGATTCATGATTTCAAAAAATAGTTTATTGATCTGATTATGAATAAAATTCACTTAAAAGTCTTTTTATATTTTGATTACAATTCTAATCAAATTGATTTTCAGTGAAATTTCAATTGATCTCAAATCACGTTGTAAATTAGGTCTCTTTTTCAATATGTTTTTATAATTACCATTGTATTGATTAGTATCGACATTTTGGATGAATTTTTCAAATGAAGGCTATCAATTTTCCATCGTTTAGGAAGTAAATACACATAGATTTGGTTGATCTAATTAGGTACACAAAGAAAAATAAGATAGTAATTTATTACTTTTTTCATCCTTACAATTTTTCTGGAATGAAAAACCAAATACCAGTTTTATTTTTATAATGAAACATTTTTTTTGTCTTACTGATAAGCACTAAAAATAAAGTACACTTGTTACAAAATATATAAACTTTCAATTACTCTCACCCTCTCTTTCTCTCTCTGATTCCCCTCATGTGTATTTTCCATTACGAACTAATGAAATGGAACGACTGAATACATCGTAACAAACGATACTTGTTTTCATGAAAAAAAATTACACTCAATTTCTTCTATTATGTCAGTTTTTACTAAACTTTTGGAAAACTAAAAACTACCACAAATGAACAGTAGTAGGTTGTATTCAGTGATCGATAAATCGTTTTTTTTTGCACTCTAAACATGGATATTACTATCAGTTAGACAAAATCCAATCATTTAAAAAATTTGCATATATGTGTGTATGCGTGTACCTTTCTTTCAAGTGAAATAGTTTAGACAATAAATAAGAATGAATTGTACAATCTAAGTAGTACAGAAACTTATCCTCTTTGTTATAATCAGTGTTTAGATGATAATGCTGAATGATATATATTCTAATCTAGAAGGTAACATCAGCTCTATTAAAATTGATGGTTCAAGTGGTTGGTGAGTGTCAAGCAGTAAGAAACTTCAGTTTCAGGGAGCCCTGATCATTGCTTTATCGGGTTGAAGGTGTTGCTGATGAGATTGAGAGAACGGAAAGTGAATGACCGACCAGAGTATGAAACAAGGAGGGTTGAAAAAAACCTGATTCTAAAATGATGGTGTACATGGGCTCCAGGATCCTGTGGAAACAAACAGCCTATGAACCTGTTATTGACCACTAGCTACCAAAGGACCACATTTACTTACACTGCTCCACTGACTTGTGGATTAGACTTGTTGACCAATGACTCGCAGTGTATTCTACTACCAGAACCACTTGGTTTGCTCAGTATCCTAACCCACTCAAAATTTCAGTGATTTGTTTGGTGCATCAATGTTTAGGCACAGCTTTGTTTTGATAAATAAATAAATCGTAATAATAACCAAGGTTTATCTGTTGAACAATTTTAAAAATATTTCACCTTAAAAAAAGTGACCGTCTCATCAGTAGCAGCACCTATCAACCATTTCTAGTCCATGAGAGATTCAAGTACATCCATCCAAAAACCATTTCTAAATAGAATGAAACATGCGTCTTGGATTCATCCCAGTGTAATGAACATGATTTTGAGACAAGATGGATATATTGATTTCTTTGAAGAAGACACAGTCTGCTAGCGAAATGTTTACAGCTTATCTTTAGAATTACATTTGCAAAATAATTAGGTCAATCTATGGACTCATCTATCGATCATTGTTAGACGACCATTGGGAACCTGAAAGCACTGGACAACCGTCTCTCCCTAGTATCTATCCACGACTCCGCCACAAGGAATCGAACTTAAGGCCTCTAGTCTCGTGTGGGAACGACTTAACTTATGACCACTAAGCCAACATTCATTGCCGTTTATGTCTAACTTCAGTCGGTTTACGATACTGCGCTACCGAAAATCATTGTCTTCAGTGGATAACTAACTGCCTCATATCCTTCACAACTGAACTCCACAGGTGACATCTTCTTAGAAGTTAGTCATCTGTGAGCACATGAAATTAATAATCAGCACAAACATGGTACAAATCAGATTAGTTTAATTAATTTCTCTACAACCGTATAAATATCTATTCAAATCATTGATCATAAAACTTAGTAAGCTTTACAATCAAAATGCATATCATTGAATTTGTATAAAGAAATTATTTCAAACTATCTGATGTTATTCATAATGAAAATCGATGTCAGAATGATGTGTAATTGGAAATTACTGAACAAATTTTTTTCTAGTTGAACTTTTCACTTAAAATAATATCTGATTAAATATTACATTTATGAATGAATGAATGGATGAATGAATGTATTTCTAATAAGTGTATTTCTTAGGGTAGTAGTAACACATGCACATACACATACACACATGTTTGCATTAATGGGAAAATCATTCTTTCATTCGTACATTCTTCCTCTTTCCTTCAAGATTGTTTTCATTTATTTTTACTCTGTCATAAACTATGTGTTCTTTTTATTGTTTCCCTGTTATATCACTTGATATTGTGAATCATATAGCATGTATCATGGTAACATGTATCTTACATAACTGTTAATTTACAATGAGAATTCCCATTAATGTTACGACTAATAAAACTTCTACTACTACTACTACAACTACTATCCAAAACAATGTATTCTTTTCCAATCAAAATACAAATAAAACAAGAAAAAGGTAGAAAGATTTAGTCTAGCAAAGATACAAGATAAGAACCGTGAAAAATTATCATAATAATAATAGTAATAATCATTATTATTATTATTACTAGTATCATCAAAAAGAAATGTTGTTTCCTTTTGAAGAGAGAGAGAGTAGAAATTACACTTCACTCTCGATAAATCTGTCGAAATTTGCCAGAAACAGATGGCATATTGATTAGTGACATTTATCACTCATAGACATCATAATGATAGTGTTTTTAATAATAGTAATTTAATCATAAATAAAATTCAATTGAATATGTACAGGAAAAAGTTACGGTGTTTTGATTTCTTCCTTGTATAATTTTGATATTTGTATAACGTAGATTTATGATATTTGTATATAATTACGTAAGAGTATTATGTGTGTATGTATGTTTCATTGTTAAAATAGTGCACTATTACTATACATACTCTTACACACAAACACACATACAATTTGTACATTGGAAACTAATCAACCATAACTTTGTTCCGCAAGATTTATTTTTCTGTATTCAATGGTGTGCTAGTTTCAAAAAGTTGAATTTTATCCAAATTTAACATTTTCTAATCTAACTAGATATGAATAAATAGTCTTAATGATTGGTTATAATCCCAGGGGTAATGATTGGCTAATTGTATTTGGACCAATAGGGTAGGTGTGTAAGATTAGTCTACTTTTATGAATAAAATAGTTAAAACTGGCTGTTGGAAAACACCGAACGAACAACCATTCAACATCTGACTTGCGAACAGTTTGAAAAAAAGTGGATTGAAGAGGATAACAGATTAAAGTTTACAAGATTTATAAATTAATATAGTTATCCATTAAAAGGTTTTACGAATGATTCATAACTTATTATATTGGATATCTTAAACATAATCAGTTGACGATACGGAGCTATTTGTTATTTCCCTTAAAAATCAAGAATCAGTCATCGTTAAATCACCATCACTAGAAACCTATAAACATTGGATAGCTGTTCTGTCCTAGTATGGGACTCAACATCTGTGTTCAGCCACGACTTCGGCTAGCGAAGATCGAACCGAGGATCTTCAGTCTCGAGCTCGAATTTCTAACTTGTTGACCAGCAAGCCGGCATTCAACAGTGTGAATGTCTAACTACTATCAATCCACCATATTGAGCAACCTTATATATTACCCTACATGGCAGGGTTGTCCCTTTCTCTTATTCAGTGTTTTATATTAATGACATCACTGATAATAAATGCAATTCATATTTACATTGGTAATTTAACGGGTTAAGATAATAGACTGACTTTAGGTGAAGTGTCGCTGAAGACCATGTGCGTGTGCTTTTTTCTGATATAAGACTCTTCAACATTACTCAAGGTCACTGACCAATCACCTCCGAATACGTCTCCTAGGTTCTCCTCTCCAACTGTTGTCAAGTTGTACTTCATCGGTGCCGTACGTTTTTTATAAAGTCAAACTAGTTACCTAGAACAATCTTGTTCTCCATGGTACTCTTGCTAACCAAATAGTGATCATCTAATAAGATGTCAATATATGAACTGGGAACGTTTAAGTCCCGCAAATCAAAGACATCTTCCAAACTAAATCTAATTTCTGAGCAATCTTATTTAGAATGACCTTGTTTCATTCATGTCACAACACAAGTAAGTTAGATTTAACATAGTTACAGAACGATCACAGAAAACAGAAGATATTTCATACTCCTGTCATACTGTGTATGTATGTTAATCGCCAACTGAATGATTATCGTATCAAATCGGTTAATGTGAGAATATGCTAAGTGATTTAAAAACTGATAACTAAAGTGTGCTAATCAATGTTATCGAGAAATTTTACTCAAGAATAAAAACAGTTGACTTTCAAACTTTTGGTTTATATTCTATCCATGAGTGAAAAATAATTCTTTAATTCATTAAATTTCATTTGTCAATTCTCGTCTACTTGTTACTACAGTTTAAAAAAAGAAAATGAATTTTCCTATTATCAACTGGATTTGATTAGTTTTTATTAGGATATGAAGTACTTGATAGAGTTCATCCTAAGCCGATTGTTTAAAGTGTTATATGGTTGTTTTATCGCATAAATAGTTACTTTTCATAAATTTTCAAGTTATCGTAACCTCATATTATGTTATGTTAAATTTTAATAAAAACAATTTCTTATTTGAGTTTGAGCGGTTGGTTTCACGATAAATCTTTCAAAATGAATGAAATGAGTGTCCATTTGAATTCATCGGATCGCTGACACATGATTACATTTTCATATTATGAATCCACATTCTAATATAAGATATAGAAGACTGAATTCCAACAGTAGTTTTTCGTTCTGAATTGGAACAAATGTTATGGTATCTTTATACTCAATTATCATAAGTACCCTGACTAGTTATTTGATACAATCTAACTACACTGCTTTTATTGTCAACATCCTATTTAATTGAAAGTGAATAATTTAGAACGGCAAAACTTTCCTTTCATCACTTCATCGTCAATATACCAAAGGTCTCGGGTTCGAATCCTGCGGGGTGCAGGAGTCGTGGATGCGCACTGCTGATGAGTCCCATACCAGGACGAAACGGCAGTCCAGTGCTTCCATGTTTCTAATAGTGGTCTAAGAATGATTGATTGATGTAAAAATATACATTTTATCAACATTCTTTTCGAATTATTGTTCATTAATTATAACTTCACTGTTCAACTTTATAACACAACTGACTTAATTATTTACACATTGAGATTCCTTAAATATGTTTAGATAATTAAATACATGCAATCATGTGAATAATTGAATTAAGTCGATTCAAAAATACATTATTATAGCAGAAACTAATTTGCCTCTCTATTCTCGTCTTCTGATTAGTTATCATTGGCATATGAGGTGATCATGAATAAAATATTCATTGAGAAGATTCAAGCGGTCATTAATCCAACAAGCATAATACAACCATAAGTTATTAGCTGAATCTTTTAATCAAGTGATTTGATCATAAAGGAAATATCACGAACCAGTTCTCATTTCTGTGTGTTTATTAAATTTATATATGTATGTTCAAATATATGTATGTGAACTGATACAGATTGTATTCTCCCTATCTATTATTTCACTTTCTTTCACTAAAACAACAACAGCTTTCTACTGGAACGGACAATATTTAATTAATCAAATTGGTTCACTCATACCAAATACTAAAGTCATGGTTGCTCCAGGTAGAAATGTTGCAAAAAGTATGGATGAAATAGTTGTGGTACTTATGCCTGAATTATTAAAACCAATTAAACCAAGCATTCCTGATACTAAACCTTTACCGGAAGTTCTACCTGATGGTATAATAGCAGCTGGTGTTGTTATGCCTGGTCTAGGCACTGGGAATGCAGATCATGGAGGTGAAATTTTTATCTCTGGTAAGTATGATTGGATTTTATTCTATGTGTTTGTATTTTTATCGTATGAATTGGATTCAATAAGAATCTATGGTATTTATGGAACTAGAGATAATGATTCAGTCATTTCTTAATACAATCGATCCTTTTAAATTCGACAATAACAATGCACTCACAACAAGTTAACATCCGATAGCTGAAACAGTGGAAAAAAACTCAAAGACCGCATGCAAAGAACTTGATATTTCAGAATAGGATAAGCAATACAAATCAAATTTAATACAACTTTTACAACTAAGATACAAGAGACAATCTTCAAGTATACAGGAAATTAGTTGAATGAAAAGCAATAACAATTATTCAGAAAGTAGTATTTGTGCAGTAAACTGAGCCAGAAGTTATCGTTTTTGAAAGCATTTTCACACTGTTATTCAAATTTGTTTTTTTTATTTGTGATCTACTTAATAGTTTGGTAGATGTCAACTGTTTTTTTTTAAAAATTATTTATTATTTAAGTGCTAAACTAACTTTTGTCGTTGACAATCAGTGAAATTTAAAAATTTAGAAACAATTCTTTCGTCTTAATATAAATCTTATAATGAATGAAACATGAAGCTTTAAGCTCATATGAATTGAATCGTGATGAGAAGAAATCAGGCTCTGTTTAAAGTGAGCAATTAGTCTACAGACTAATGAGATAAATAACATTTTTATTTTTATATTAAAATCATGAATCCGTCATTGTTGCACCACTATTCGAAACCTGGAAGAACTAGATAACCGTTTTGTCCTAGTATGGAACTCATCAGCAATTAGACATTAACATCGTTGGATGCAGGCTCAGTGGTTTATAGGTTAAGCGCTCACACAAAAGACTGAATGAATGTCTTGGGTTCGATTTCAGTGAGCAGTGGTCATGGATGCGCAACACTAGGTTTCTAATAGTGGTAATCTAACAATCATCAACTCATGAGTTCAGTGAAAATCAATAATCTCCACAACTCTATGATGAATATTCTACTTATTCTCTATGATATTATGCTGAATTCTAGTCGAAATATGGCTTATAGTCAGTATGTAATAAAGTGTTGTTCACAAATTACTAATAAAGTGATTGTTGGATCTGGATGCATGCCGTAAGCAAGAAGACAGTCAATAATCTGTTTGTAGTGTAAATGGTAGTCTCAAGATAAAGTGAATACATTTTGCAACTAAACTGTGTATTCCTTCTATTTTGGTCTTAACATTTTTCATAACATTGTGAAGTAAATAATTAAATATCTTTTAATAATCTTTTTCATCTTAGCTTATTAACTCTCTATCACCAATTATAATTTGTAAATACTTTATTGGTAATGTAATGAACTCATTTTAGGTAAAGTATTTTATTGTAGATCATGTGAAATGTTACATTCACATGAATAATAAATACCGAAATCAGCATGTTATTGTCGTTGTAAAAATTAACAATGTAGTCATGAAGGCAAAAAATAACCGAATACTAACTAGAAAAAGACAGCAACAAATTATTGTTACTATATAAGATAACTAACTGATTTTTTTTCCTAAAATATTTCTCACTGGTTTTAAAAATCATGCTGACAATATATTTGAAAATCAATTTTCAGGTGTCATTTTTTTATTGCTTACTTGTATGATTGTAACGTTTCAGTGCGTAATTGAATGCCGAATTGAAGACTAAGAAATGTCTTTTACTGATATTTATACTGATTTACACTGTTTGGCTACTGAGTAGTGGAAAAAATCTGGTTGATGTAATCTCTTTATCGATTCATGTTTGGAATGTGTTATAACTTACAATATCCCGAGGTCTGCACATGATACCTGCTGAATACCTGAGTCAGAATGCAAGAGTGGAGAATGAAGTCTGTCTGGTTACTGATTATGTGTAGAAATGCGCGGTTATATGTACACAAATATACTCTACCTCTTTGAAAAATGAATCTTTTTCTTGACCAATCATATTCATTCAACCTTTAAGACATTTTCTAAAGTCATCAAATGACCTTCTCGCTTGCTTACTTCTAATTGGCTTATTATATCATAGTGTTCTCATCAATCTACATGACTAAATATTGTGTAAATTATATTCTATTATTAGGTAATTAGACGCAGTCAAGTAGTCGAATATCAAGTCATGATAAGTAACTTTGAGAAGATCTGGTAAAGAAATTCTATTCAATTGGTTAAATCTAGGGGTTTCGACTGAAAGTTTACTGGTAATCAATTTCAAATTAGACATCCATTTTCAGACGAATATTAAATGAATTAAAAGTTGTATATATAACTATTGCAATTAGATGAGTGACAGATAGTCAATAGAAACAATCCGGGTTTAGAGTTGATATTTATTCACACGAAGTAGATATAATTTTCAAATAACTAATGTTATTTCGGGGGATTCTATCTAAGATCAATTTGTTTCACAGTATAAGTAGCTACTAGTTATTCAAGTTTGAACTAACCTTCTACAAGACTAAGATATTTACACTGTTTGACGAAAAATAACCAATCTTTATTTAGTCTTTTAAGTTGATCAGATTTTTTCGGTTCATACACTTCTTATATGATATATCAAAGTCATAATACAAATCAGCAGCATGTATACCATTGTCCTAACACAATAAAAGACATTAAGGTTGATTCATTGATTAAACTCCGAACTTACTTTCTTCTACTGTGTTCCCCATATATAATTTCTTATTGTTTAGTTTTGCGACGTTTTGTGAGCACGAACATACGGTATCTTCATATTTCTTAGTTTATCAGCTTCTGAAATTCAAAACACCACAGTGTCTTTATGAATTCAGTAGCTAAATAAATAATCGAATGCCATGTGAATTAAAAGACAGTGTTTGAGTTTTGAAGTGATTAGTAATCTGGAATACAGGTAAATCCAGCTGGCGAGTCCCAAGTGGGATGAAATATGGGCCTTACATTCCACTGTTGGACACCATCCATCTCTGCTAATAATGCTTGTAACCTAAAGGTAATATCGAAGCTATCCATACAGCATGTGCGTATATTAAACGAGACTGATCAACTGTAGTTTTAAACATCATTTAGAAAGATTCAAATAACCAATACATGTAGTTATAAACAGGTCTAAATGATTACTGATGGAAGTATTTGTCGACTGAAGTAAAATGAAATGTTCATCATTGGCTGGTATTTTTGCAAACGTGGCAATTTCAATACACAACTTAATTATTACACAGAAGCAGAAAGTAATGAATAACTGTTTCTCTCTTGTAGTCACCCGGAGATTAAAAGGCCCTAGCAGAAATCCAACTCAAAGCATTCAAGTTTTTTGGTATGGGCTTAACTTAGGCATCACTAAAGAATAATGAACGTTTACTGCAGAATAAATGTAAACTAAATGCATTCACTGAATTACCACAGTAGATCTATCTTCACCTTCAATGTAATGACACTTTTTCGAGTTATTCAGAGAAGAATTTCTTAATAGTCATATTTCAAATGTTATTTTCTTAGTTTTTGGATTGGATCGTCAGTTATCGATAAAAGTTAACAACACAGTGAACTGATCAAAAACATTTCTACTATGACCAGCTAGAAAACATGTTTTGTAATCCAGTTAACATGTACTTTTGCCAATCAAATATCTAGGTAACAACTTAATGAATGAAAACTTCATGACAATATGGAACATGTGATTTATTTAACGAAGACTTAGTTAACTAGCAAAATGTGTCCACCATGTCTTCAGACTTTCATTAACAAAATAGGAAGATTATTGACTATCTTCTTTCACATTTGTTCTGATATTCGTAACACTTTGATTGCTCCATACATTCGGGTTCAACAATTTTTTTCAGTAGTTACCTGTGAGCACACTTCATTGCATACTACTTCGAAACCACATTGAGAGTAGTATATACTACAGCACCATGTGGATATCAGTAGTATTAACTTACCATTGTAGAACATTCGGTTTATCTTAAAATCACTCACACGAGAAGTTATTTTAACTCACTAAACGTTTTGCATTTGTAATTCTTTGTATTCTACTCGTGCATTTTCTTTTTCAATCATAACAAATTAGATGGTAATACTTATGGTGCTGGTGCAACTGGTATCAATGCAGGCACTGGATTAATTCTTTCACAAGCTGGTGGTCTGTTTGGTTTAGGAGGTGCTATGGTTGATGCTCTGTTAGCTGGATTACTTTTAGCATTGTTATTATTAATTTCTGCTTTAATATGGGCATGTTGGAGATGTAAACCTGGATGTTGTGGTTGGTGTACAGGTAAATCAGATGGATTAACTGGACGTAGCGCATGGAATCGATTTGCTGCAATATGTTGTGCTGCTCCTGAAAGTGCCATTATTGGTAAGAATGATTTTTTTGTTCTTCAAAAATTGTCCTGCTCTTTATTATTTCGAATGATAAAGAATTTTTATTCATTGATTTTGTGATTGAAATGACACATTAACACTTGTGGATGCTGACTCAGTGGTCGAGAAGGTCATGTGTTCGATTTCCGCTTGGAGAAGTAGAAGACGATCACAGTTGATGAGGCCCGTACTAAGACGAAACGGTCATGGATTTTTGTTTTCTGAGCTGAATCGTTTGGTTGTGGAGCGTTTATTGTTCTCCTGGATAACATCATCAGCACGAAATTCTGGTATTTCTCCGTGTGTGGCTCGTAGCTTATACTGTTGACTTCCATCTTGATTAGTTGTTATTCACCCTTAAGCTGTGATTATCCGTCTCTTTAGTCTGTTCTTATCCCTATTTGATTTGGTTCTTGATGACAGGTTGACAAATTGAATCGGTTTTCACGAGTTTATTAGCTGACGATTGACCTGAACAACGAGGTTCTAATAATTCCCCTGTGTTTATATTTCCTGTCTTCAGTAAAATCATAAATTAGAGAAACAGTTACAATATTAGTCGTTTTCATAACAACAACATGGTTAAAAAGATTATACTATGTGTCAAAACCCTTTTTGTTTAAACAAATAATTATTGGTACAAATCGGGAACCTAAATATCCATACGCAACAAAGGTAATTTAACCTGTATGTGTACCAGGATATTGTTCAGTTGTCCAAACTGAGCCATGTAGTTTTCTTAAAGGTCCAATCCGTAAGCCTTTGACAAAAGGTCGTATCCACAAGGCAATGAAGCTACTAAACGCTTAAGTAGTAGGTATTCCATGTTTAGAGTAATAAAAACTTGAGATTTCAGCGTTTGATAATGAATGGTCACTGTTGCTCAGTTTCAAAATAGAACAAAATAACAAAATAGACGAATCTTCAACTGATGATCATCACTATTAAACTGTATAAAACTTTTCACAAACTCAACATTCATTAAATTATTAGCGTAATATGACATTAGAATAATTAAATGGTTTGTCATCTCAGTTCATCAAGTAAAAACTATAGACCATTGAATATTAACTCACATGTTTAAAGGCATCATACTCAAGATTGACTATGAAAAATTCAAAGTTAAGTCTCTGATGATGTTATAGTTCCTTGCGGCATTGAAATGCCTTACTACGGTGTACTGTCCGCCGAATAATTCCTAGTAGTCACCGACTGTTAAATGTAAAGATAGTCCTTGATGATTTATGAAAATTGGGTATAAAAATATCAGAACATTGAAAAAGTTCATCATCCTAGAATTTTATTGACTATACTGTTTTTAGAATAATAACTACTTACTAACTTACGTCTGTAACCCCTAAAGCAGCATTGGTCACCGACTTGCATTCTCCAACCTACTCTATCCTAGGCTTTCCGTTCCAGTTCTAGCCGATTGCTATTCATTTCTTTGATATCTACTTCCAATTCTCATTATTTTTAGACCAATACTACCACTACTATTAATGAAATCTAATCTGGTTTTAAGGGATTCAGCACTTATGTTTGTTTTAATACACACAGGAAATCATTTAAACTTGTTATTCATTAGGATAGTTCATTTTCAGATTTAACTTGTAGAAATATTGTGAATCATTTTAAAAGAAAAATTCAATTATTATTAAAAATTAATATTAAGAAAAAAAAACAACGTTTTCCGATGTACATGTCTGTTCAGTACTGTAAATCATATTAATTAAAAATGATTTATTTGTTTATTTTTGATTGAACAATATGTACGTTCTCTTACCGACAAATACGAATAAGGAAGGGTTTTATGACTTAAATCAATCGAAAAATTTACTCGGTATTCAATTGTGTGATACACATAGTTAGGTGATACAGAGTTACCTTGAAACAGTCCCTATCCAACAGGTACGATCATTACTGTGTACCAGAGACGTAGATAAATCCACAAAGCATAAAATATAAGGGGAAAGGCAACCCTTTACTAGTCATTTCCAAAACTAACTGCTAATTGTGATGAAAACTCAAAACAGAGTTGACAGCATTTTATAAAAATTTCACTTCTCATATAGTAAATTTATTTCAAAATTGATTTGTATATAATCATCAAATGAAAAATTTAATTACAAAATAATAAATAAATTACAGGATATAATAAACTAGAATAATTTTGTAATCAATAATAATAATAATAATAATGTTCTTTTCACTTGGTTCAAAAACTGTTTGTGACTCAATGTGTCGTAAATTACACATCAGTGAATTACATTCTAATCGATTACATCAGTAGTTGTATGTATTTTCTTAACTCAACATATTTTTTTTCATAATTATTGTTTATCCTGCTGGGATTATAAAAAAACAAACAGAATTATAATTCTATGTTTATTTGAATATGATGAGTTGAACTAAGTTTCCTTCAATAAAAAAATGTTATAGCGAGGGCTAAACTGTTATTAGAGGGAAACTCATTTCTTCAGATGACTTTCAACAAATCTTAAAATGATTGAGAAAAAACAGAGTGAACGTTTTGTCAGTCAGGATACAAGTGAAAAAGAAGTAAAATACTGCATAAAAGCTCAAAGAAGGTTGGAATTCCGGATAAGATTACAAGTTGTGCTTAGGTCTATATTGTGTGAGTGGAATGTGTGAACTCTATGAAGTTATTCATGGAATTCGAATATCAAGAAATTATAAGGTACTCCTGAAAAATTCTTTTTTTTACTTTTACAACAATCAACAATTAATGACTGCTGTCATTACCATTTTGGGAATCGATCTAATTCACTTTCATTCTCTGTTCTTAGGTGGTAGAGAAAATTTGTAGCTCCGGTTGATGATTATGATGGAGTTTTGTCCTCTGGGTTGGTTGTTTTGTTTGTAGAGCTACGATTGTTCTTCTGAACAACATAATCAGCACAAACTTCAATAAGCAGTGAAGTGTTCGAATTTTTCTGCATATGACTCGTAGCTTGTCCTGTTGACTTCGATTTCGATTATGAGTTGTTGACCTTTAACCTGTCGTCGTCTGAATCTTTATTTTAATTGTATCCTCCTTTGATCCATTACTTATTGACGTTAACTGGAAAAACTTTAGAAATTGGCGAACATAGGACAATAACAAATGTTTTATCTAAGTTTCTAACTTTTTATCAGAGTTGTTTACGCTCACCACTTTTATAAACAATCAAATATAAATTCAAAACAGTGGTTCCCTTTGATAAATTTGAATAGAGAAATAAGACATATTTTGTGAGATAGTACCATTTCGTGCTTTCTCGTCAGTCACATACAAGCAACATGTTATTTGTGTAAATACAGTTTTGAAGATCAGGTCAAAATTTCCTATTTAGCATGACATTCACTCACTAGAACCATGGTAAACAAAGGTCAACATACAGTTGTTTTTGAACACATAAAGTTGGACTTTTCCGACCAATCAAGATAGCTTCGAGTAGTTTGAGTGTGCGTGGGTTTTGATGACATGTCACAACTCTAAAGGCTGATTTTGGGTCAATTTGATGATCACTCATCATTAGATGTTTTGCAATGGACGAGGCCGGGTTTCTTGATCGATTTTGAGATGATGGGCTAGGTTGATGAATCATGGATTTGATTAGCCATTTTGGAATATGTTCCCCTATCCTGTCTTCCAATCGGCGATCTGTCCTCCCTAAGTAACTTTCTGCGCAGTTACATGTGAATTGGTAAATACAGTGGGATTTGGACTGAATCGGTCTTGGAGACTTGATTGGGGTAACTGAGATCGATTGGGTTGTTGTGATAAGCCTCAGATTAGCTGCATTGAAGGTCTTTTTTATTGCAGCTGCAGTCTGTTTGGTTGTAATTTTCATGCAATGATCACCCTTGAAAGGTAACTGTAGGTACACTGGTTTCTTGGACACATCAGTTGCTATCAGCTTCGTCGTAGTTGTGTTCTGATGACCAATAAACCCTCACACACTGAAACTACTCGAAGCTATCTTGATTGGTCGGAAAAGTCCAACTTTATGTGTTCAAAAACAACTGTATGTTGACCTTTGTTTACCATGGTTCTAGTGAGTGAATGTCATGCTAAATAGGAAATTTTGACCTGATCTTCAAAACTGTATTTACACAAATAACATGTTGCTTGTATGTGACTGACGAGAAAGCACGAAATGGTACTATCTCACAAAATATGTCTTCTTATTTCTCTATTCAAATCAAATATAAAGAAATTTTTGGTTTTTAATTGACCGTGTCCGTTTGAGATCATATAAGCCAAACGGCATCGATCAGTGAGTGGTATTGTATAAATATTACTACAATACTTCGATGTTTACACAGTGTACTTACTACACTGAAGAGTCCGACATCAAGATGTGACAGTTATCCGTTGTTTCTTTTGTTTCAAGGCTGATCTAAATGAAACTGCTCCGTGATTTATTAAGTCAACGTTATGTACATATCTACCTAGATATGAAGAAGATATTCTTTTAATAGTTTAAAATTCAACGACAATGCTGAAGGACAGTAATCAACTGGATCCTGTCACTAGGATAAAGAAGTAGTTAAGTTGATAAGTGGATATATTGATTGGTCCATTTTCAACCAATCAACGTTAGCTGGCTAATCAAAATCGATATCAACCTTAATATTTTTTACTACCATGTAACTGTTTCAGTTTGTTGGAATGTTGGTGTTAGTCATTCTAGTTAGAAAGGGACCGAGTGAAGTATCATGGTCAAAAAAATACTGACCAGCAGAAGAAATAAAATATATCTTTTCATGCTTAAATGATTCTCCTTTTGATGACACTTCATGAATAGTGATAGTAGTTTTGATAATAGTAAGTATTTTAACCGTAGTAATAAAATTTCTGGGTCCAATAATCAAAATAAGCAGTAAGTTCTTGTTTAGGAAATAAAGCGCTAGTCGATATCATTACGTATACTCAATCACCGGCAACCTCGACGGGTGATTCTGTCTAGTGTGGGAGTAGTCTGAATCAGGCGTATGAGCAACCAAACCGAAACATCTTACTAGACCATGCAGTCACTGACATTTCGACTGAGCCATGTTAATAGGTGAAGATTACTTATTTCGGTTCTGCCTGATAATCGTAACCACTGGTTAGAGACTTTGAATGATATGATTCGATATCGTTCATTCATTTCGTCTTCTAACAAATTCTGAATTTCAGAATTTCCCCTGACTTTCTCCACTTTCTTTAAAGTTTTTTCGCCAGTTTGTATTTTCACAAATCTTATCACCGATGCCTAATTCTTTTCATTATCACAAATACAGCAAATACCTATGCTACACGAGGATTTGACCTAACAGTTTCATCTCTCTGTTCTAATGTGATGTGGCAACTTGGTCTGATGTACGTAAGTATCAGGATCAACATTGCAACCGACTAACTAACTGACGATATCGTTACACATGAGTTAGGACTATTTGTGCATTAACTATGTATACTTATGATTATGCAATTACCTTGCTGAGAAATACATAGCTTATAACCTCACTATTTTATTTTTGTTTCTCTAGTCAAAGAAAAGAAACATTTACTGGTAAGCAAATAAAGTAATTTGTTGTTATAATTTTCTATTGATTGATCATTTTTGTGTGTTTTGGTTCAACTCACTGATGATGTACACCAAGATTGAAATCATTTGGAAAGTTAAGTCACTGAGTCAGATGATAATGTACATAAAGCTTACGTTAAAAGTTTATCTATAACTGTGCTTCTGATTTATTCAAAAACGCGTTGACTGAAATCCCAAATGAGTTACCTGAATAGTGTGATCCACTCATAACCTGTCATCTACTGTTTGACATTGTGAAGTCATTTAGGAACAGATACATTATGAGTTCATACTCGATTCACATTTCACTTTTTGAAATGAGAAATGAAACTCTGTTTGTTAAATTAGTATTGACCAGATTGTCAGAACAACGTTCATAAAGAATAATATTCAACCTTCCGGTCTACTGTACAGTTATTTTATCCAATTTAATAAAATATTTGCGATATATTTTCGATTTATCTATCCTCCCTTTTTCCATGTACTTTTCAGAGTGACAATGGTAACACAGGAGTCGACGGAGCAGCAGTAAGTTTTATTGATTGTTCTCGTTACCAATTTGTTTATTGGTCAAATTAAAATCGATTTTCGATTCATAATGTATGGTTGTTTAATTCAACGTCTAATGGGAACCATTTGTGATTACTAAAATCACAGTTCTACACTGATTTCATGTTTTATGAGTTTGGTGAACAATTTCTCAAACGTTTCATTGCTATTTGAAACAAAAGGTGTAAACAGCAGTCTATATGAGTATGATTGACACATTATCAAGTGAATTGATTAAGGATAAACTTTACCACATCTGGATGCCAAACATCAGTGCTAAATCAAAAGTCCCAGGTTCAATTCTTGCGTGCAGGGTTCGTGAATGCACACTGCCGAAGACGAAACGGCACTCCAGTGCTACCGGATTTATAATGGTGGTCTAGTTAAGATCGATTTGTGATTTCACACATGAAAATACCCCAATCTTCAATCAAAAGTTTCGATGAAGGTTGATAGGGAATTTATAATTTATAACTAAACCTCTTATCACCTGATACTATTAACATTGATCCGATCTATTCAACATATTACATGATCCTAAGCTTTTTCTAACATAATATAAATGAAATTAACAAAGATTTAGACGTGGAAATATGTGGAAAGATTCTTGCCTCCAGTTGCTTTTTTATGATGTATAGAACTATAATAGTGAATCTTATCAGTTTATCTTGGAAGCTTGAATACTGAATTCGATTATAAAGTCCACGAATTGTCAGTTTGCTTTTTAACTGTTTGACTAATGACTTTCCAATTGACCAATAGCAGAATGACCATGAAATCTTAATTCTTTATTGTTTGGACGATCTCATCTAATAAACTGTTTATTATTATATGCCGCCGAGATTCAAGAACTCATTGAAATATGTTTAGTGATTACATAACAACAACTCACTACAAATAGATAGTCATAATTTACACTCAATTTGATCATAACTGATATAAAATAAATAATTATTCGATGTAGAGAATTTGTAAAGACTATAGAGTTTACACTGTTTAAATGATGAACAGATCTTGAGAATGAGGAATCACTGGACATGTGTTTCGATCTAGTCTGAGGTTCCACGCATGTACGCTCAGAAATCGAGCCTATAACCTTCAGCCCAATCCATCAAATGTTAACTTGTGGAGCATTGGGCTAGCATCCAACCGTGTCACTGTCTAACTCCAGTCAATTCATGATATTGTGTAATCCTCATTTATTGTCTGCCATTAATGGACAATATCTCCGGTATCATAAAACTGAATTCCTCGTATACCACATACTCAACAGATTGTATTTCTGCGTTGTTTGTTTCTCTGCATATAAGTGTCTTTAAAAATTTTTTTCTTCAACTCTATTAATACAGACTGGTGGTATGACTGCGACAAGTCTACAATCACTACAAACTCAATCACGTTTAATCAAACCACCTTTATCAGTAACCAGTTTCCCTGTAGGACATAATCATAGATTGGATTTGACAGATCAGTAAGTTTGAATTTTTTGTATTGTGTACATGAAAGTTTGACTTATAATTCCATCACATCATATTCCATATAGATTAATGGAGATTTATGCTTTTGATTGGAATCATGAATCGATCATTGTTAGACCACCATTAGAAACCTAGAAGCACTGAAAGGCCCTTTCGTCATATTATAGGGCTCTTCAGCAGCGCACATCCACAAAGCCGGCTCGCTGGAATCGAACTCAGGATAGATTTACGATTTCAGTGAAAAACAAAAATCTTAATAACTGTATAATAAATACCATTCATTGTGATCATAGTGACTAGCTTCTTGAGGATATCTTCGAAGATCTAGTACGAAGCCATGACCAGTGGAGTTCAACCTTTTTTGGGTGTAGGCAGTAACTACCAAAGACAATGGATGAGGTTGAACAAAACCTTATATTGATCAAATTCAGACACTAACTTCGTTAGATGCCGGCCAGCTGGCCGGCTGGGTTCGACTCCCATGGGCGGGGGTTGTGGATACGCACCACTGACGAGTTCCATACTAGGAAGAAACGGCCATCCAGTGCTTCGAGGTTTCTAATGGTGGTCTAGCAAAGATCAATCCATGATTTCAATCATCACATAAATTTCGGCACTACAGTCTAATCCTAATTCGAAATCTATTGAAAGACCAGTACCTTTTGAATTACTGATGAACGATGCCAAAGTGAACTTCAGAAAATTCAGAATCGAAAGTAGGTTTGAAGTCAGATTTAAAGTTAGCGATCAAATCTAGTGTTTGGATTTTCATCACGAATTGACATCAGCTATGCAATGTCGAATTACTATTTAGCAATATGATTAGATAAATTTTACGGTAAAATTGACTAGCTCGTATAGTTGGATCTGATTCTTTTTGACGATACATGATGGCAACACAGAAAATCTTTCTTCATTTTCTTGGTTCTTTTCGATGAATACTTCTTTGTTCAACATGTTCCTGTTTTGTAATTTGTTGTTGTTGAAAATTTCAGAATCGGAGCATCCGGTATCTCTACTATACGTATTGATCAACCAATAATGGATGATTTAAGCGCTCGTCAAAATGTCTACAATATGGAAGGTATGAAAGTTGATTGTGTTGTTATTACAAAGAATAGTAAATATGTTGTTACTGGATCTGGCATGGGACCACCACAAGTTTGGGATACTCAGGTAATGTAAACTAATAGAAATTTTTCGCAGTATGCATTGATCATGTATATTCACGATCTTGTTGACATTTGGATTCTTTTAAAATTCAGTCATACTTCATTTTATTTAAACACATGAGCATTCATATAAAGGGGCACCTAAATATTTATGCCTCATAAAAATAAATGAATTTGTTTGTGAACTGGGATACTGTTTGGGTGCTCAAATGAAGAAGATGGTCTTCTTAGGGTACCATTCCTCGAGCCTTTCACTTAGAGGTCTTGTCCATAGGGTAATGGAGGCAGGGCAGGAGATGAAGTTCCATGGTAGTCGGTGACAAACAATAATTCCATACACCATTGTCAACTCAAATCCCATAGTAGCAGTATTAGGGGTAATCGGAGGGATTAGACATCAAAAATATTATTCGAAAAGTATAATTTTCTCGTGGACCTACTCTTTCTAACATGATTCAGTTCATTTGTCAGTAAGTTCATGGATTTGTGCCATGTTTTAGTTTTGCCGCCCCCCTAGCTTTCTTCCAACCTACCCCTACATCATAAAACTTTACTCGTTCATATTCATTCACGATAACTCTTTTAATTATTTAATACTTTCATAAACAGAACAGTTTATTCAATGAGGCGGTATATTTTTATTTTTTTTTAAATAAAGAAAAATTGTATTTTATCCAGTTCATTAACATTATGCATAAAGCTGGGTCAATTTTCTAACATTATAACTGATAGAATATTTAATTTAGTAAACTTACGTAGTTTTGTGATTAGTTTAATATAGATATTTAAAGAAATGCCAAATTGGTTTACTAGAAACTACCAAAATTAAAATCGAACAAAATGTATACACCTTATCTTGAAAACTTCTTTTTACAAAATAAGTAGATTATTGGCTGTTTTCTTTCATGTTTTTGCTTTTCTCTTCATACCACTTTAATCGCACCATACATTCGCATCCTACACTCTTCTCTCTAGTAGTAAATTTTGAGCGACATTCTTTTGCATTCTACTTAGAATTCAAGTTGTAAGTAGTATCCGCCACATTAGTTACCTTTATTTTCAACATAAAATTAAATAAATAACGTGTATGTTGATTCAAGTTGCCTTGATTTTAAAATAAGCACATAGCACCAGAAAAGATTTCGCTTAAATCATGAACTGATCAATGTTAGAACAGCATTAGGCAGCCGTTTTATCCTAGCATGGGAACTGAACAGTTTCAGAATGTGTATTCACTAAAAAGAGGGTGAAAATTAAATATTAGCAACTTTAATTTCAATCCGTTGAGGAATTTATCTCTGACAAATAGATAGTGCGAAGCTTAACTAACAAATAACTGATTCACTTCAGCTTATTTTATTTTTAAAGCCTTTGTTTAATATTCAACAGATTTTAACTAAATTCGGTGATCCTGTAATACTCTTAAACTGGATAAACATGATATTTTTTAATTTACATCAAATACTTATATCGTTTGTTCATTGAGAATTGGATCTTCAGGTTTTTCGACTGACACCTTGATTTCAAATCACTGAAATAAGTGATTAATCAAAAAATCGTTGACTTGAAGAGTTTTTTGTCTACTGTATAACTTTGTTTAAGACAAGCGATTATTTGAAATTGTCAGGTCTCTCTATTTAATTGATTATAACTCCTTGTTCTCTTTCTTGTTAACATTTCCACAGTCTGGTGATTTATGTAAAATTATGGATGGTCAAGAATTTGGTTGTACTGATTTACACTTAGCATGTGATGATTCTGTACTGGTATCTCAAGTAGTGGATGATATCACTGGATTAGATACGTTAAATGAACCAAGTGAAATTCGTGTAAAACGTTTACAGGTTAGTATTTTATATTTATACAGAAATATACTGAATTTGTGATGATCTGCGAAGTACAATTCTATTCTATTGATAACCATTGAAATGTATTTGAAGTGGATAAACAAATCAAGCATTAGCTAAATAACACCTGATGAAGAAGCTTTGAAAGATGAGGGAATCTTTACATAGCTGGATAAACGAGGTGGATCTGGTGCAGATGTCAAGACATAGATTAGCAAAGTAAGGAAAGGATTTATAAAGTTGAGGACTATCTAGGACTCAAAACAACTGACAACCAACACCGAAGTCAGAATTTTCAATACAAACCTCAAGACATTTGTTAGTATGGAGCTGAAACCTGGAGAATTGTAATAGTCTTCGCGCAAAAAATACAGGTATTCATAAACAGTTATCTACACGAGACACTCTAGACCCGTTAACCAGACACAATCAACAAATTACCTAGTATGGCAGAGAATAAGGCAGCTTTCAGATGAGGAAAAAGTTAGGAACAGACGCTAGAGGTGGATAGGACAGACATTGAGGAAACCATCCAACTGCGTCGCAACTCAATCCACAAACAAAAGATAGAGAGGAAGACCAAAGAACACATTTTGTTGATACTTGGAGGCAGACGTGAAAAGAATGAAGAGAAATTGAGTAGAACTAGAAAGTAAGGCTCAGGGCAGAGTAAGTTGGTGGATCTTTTGAAGAACTACTATTCTGGATCCGATTGACTCAGGTACTAATCAGAAGTAGTATACAGAGAGCAATTCATGACCTAGATTTCGTGCTATTTGGCATTCGTCAGCAAGGCGTACGTGTTATCTTGAGTGATCAACAGTAAGAGGGACCTGATATATATACGACTCAGTGATCAATCAATTGTAAATACATCTCAGTGCTATAGGTCAGCTACAGCCCAAACAGATCAGTGGTAACTTCTCTTACAGTGAAGTTCGGTGATAAGGAGTCGAATCAACCAGAGAACATCAATTCCGTTAAAATTACAAGTACATCTTGACCAGTGATATTCATTCGTTCTTTAAGATAGTCTCTGATGATCATCATATGACCTTTCCGATTGTGTGCTCTATACATCAAGGCACAACAAAACTGTTAAAATGAAACCTCAATAAACTCAGCATAAAACAGAACTGTTTTAATTTCGATAATAAAAAATATTAAACACAGAAGTTTATTTCATTTAAATCATGGACTAATTTTATCTAGATCATCATTAGAAACCTGGAGGCACTGGGCAATAATTTTGTTTAGGTTTTCAATGATAGCTAAACAACGTTGATGAGTTTATTATGTTAATACAACTAAACAATCTTAACATGAATTGATAGACTGGTCATTTAATTAGTGAATCAGTAATTAAAAGTATTCATGTCAATGCAGTTATCACTTCTCTCTGTAAACTCTAGAATATTCATGAGTAAATAATGTACTGATGACCTTGAACGACCTATTGTTGAATGAGGAAATACTGACTAGTTACAAAACAATTGACAGCTGACATCCGTGAAATGATAGCTTTAATCTGAATGATAAATCTACACATGTCGAACTATACCTTACAGAGGAAGGGAAAGGCTGAATTTACCTATTAAAAGTCAGACTAATATCGTGAGTTCGGATTATTACCTCACAAAGTTTTCATCAGTAACAGAGACTGGTTTTGATATAAAAACGTTAAGGCGAGGTTTTGAAAGTGTAAGGCTGCAGTTTTGAGTTGTGTCTAGACACCACAGTTAGGAGTTCCATCACAAAAATGACATCAAGGATTATACAATGCTTTGTCATTCTACTGTTTATAAATTTGTGAGACTTATAGTTGAGACTTAGAATAAGAGTTAGAAAGAGAGAATGTTATAATATAGCTACATTAAACACTCTTCACAACAGAGTGATCCTCCACAACTACGTTCTTATACAATCTGACGAGAGAAATCTTGTGTTTTGTAGTTAACTTAAGTAGCATCTTAAATTTACAAATTAGTTCCTTACTAAAAATCTCTATTGATTTCCAGCATTTTTAAAGATTACATATTGCCAATGTTTACTACATGAATACTAGTAACATATAAATTATCTATCGTTTCACTTTAAATTCCGTACAAAATACACAGGCAGTTGTCTGAATTATGATTGGTTCACTCAAGGTTATCCGTGCATGATACTTTCACTCATTTCAAATAATTAACAAAATACAATATATTGACTACATCTTTTTGTTTCTTTCACCTTTTTGTTTGTTTTTGCTTAAAAAAATAATCAGTTATGGGATTTCGCTACAGGACGACAACTTGAAATGCCTACAGAAATTATGTGTACAGCAACTTGCATAACACGTTCTAGTGAATATGTTATAGTGGCACAAGTCACTCAAGAAGGACCAGCAATATTAGTATGGAATTTAACTGGTAATCAATCAGATCATATCATACCATATTATCCAGTGAATCCATTATTAAAAGATTCTGTGACATATTTAAATATTTCATTGGATGATCGCTTAGTTGTGGCTGGTTTAAATAATCCAACTGATGAATTGGCCTATTTTATGGTGTTTGATTTAACTGCCAGTTATGTGGTAGGTTTTTGTTTTGTTTAAAATTATGATTAAGAGATAGTCTGTTATAATCATAGGTATAATTCATTTGTACTGGTTTTATTTGAATCTTCCTAAACTCATAATTTTTAAGACTGTCACTGATCATTGATAATCATGAAATCATAAATGTTAGACCATCATTATTACGAATTTGGAAGCACTGGACACACATTTCATTCCAGTATGAGACTTATCAGCAACTCATATGAGCGTATCCCTGTTCGAGAGAATCGAACTCAGGACCAACGGTTTGAATGACTAACTTTGATCACAATTGTCTACCGTAATTCGCCAGTCTTTGTTTTTACCATCTTGTACGGATTGTCTTGATATTTTGTGTAGGTTATAATCATCATCAACAGAAGTCAATAATGTTTAGCATTAGGATCTTGGATATGCGTTCCATCCTATTCAGAACTTGTCTGTAACTGGATGTTCACTCCGGGACTCAGACCTAACGTCATCTTGTTATTCAGGTCTAAATAGCGAGGTTAACATAATAATAATAGTAAATTCAATATTAATCTGTAACTCCATGAGATATTACAATAATTTATAAACCAAACAAAAAACTAGAAATCAAGTATAAAAATACAACGATTCAATACATCATTCTTAAAAATTGGTAAGACTGTAACTTACGGACGACCTTGAGCGATAATAGATTGACTTATAGAAAAACTTTCCTATATACTACATTCCAAAGAGAGGATTATAGAATAGTGTAATGAAGTTAAATTAGGATTTAAAGTTAGAAGTTAAGATAAGGAATTAGAGTTAGGGTTTTCATCACTAACTAAGTGACATCAGCTATAATGAAAAAAATGCTGTTTAGCTATATTGTGACTACAGGCTTTATTAAGTATGTGCTTAGCCAGAATGTATCTTGTGTGTGCTGGAGGGCTCGTGACGAGCAACGTGTGAGGTTATCTGGAAGAGAACAACAAGAGGAAATGTTGGCTGATAATTCAGTAAGCACGTATAGAATGTACTTACACTAAATAGAGGAAACAATCAACAACAGTCAGAAACAACACAAGCTTGAAATGAAGACAAACAGAATAATCATACCTAAAAGCTGATAGCTTGGGGTTTTGAATGCGTTACAACATACATGACCAAACTTCACATTAAAATGCAAGACCTGTCATCTAAAATCTAACCGGTTTGTCTTTAAATTATAGTTTCACTTAAAAATCTTGTTTTCTCTTAATCTCAATGTGTGTTGAAATCGATTTTCACGCTAGAATAAGGATTTTTTGATCATAAAAAGTGTTTTTTTTCAATTCATTCAAAGTGAGTTTATTTTTTTGTCAGTATAAACTGACACTGCAGTAAGGTATGATACTTGAAGAAGCGATTACACTTACCCTTCACATCATTTTCACATCAACATCAAATGAATATCCTTACATTATATCATGCGTGACAAATGTAATCACAATGTTTCTAAATTTTATTTTGCGGATATCATGAATCATTCTTGTATTGAAAATACCCACCACAACACTAGGTTCAACGAAAAAAAATAAATACCGAATATATTTGTTTTGATGTGTAAATGTTTTTTCCACGGTACATCAGATAGTTTCATCAAGTGGGTTGAAAAGGAGAACGGTGATAACTTGCCGACACACGAATGATTACTATGCAGTTACTGTCTACATATCTTACACTAATTATCAAAATATCAAAAATATCAAAGTATTTATTCTATGAAAAAACTTGATAATATGAGAACTCGAAAAATGCTTTTATTAATTTCTAATCAGTTTGTAATTGTTTGTGAAAAAATAAGTGAAATAGTTGATTTTTCTCTGAGCAATGAGTGGTTGTTTCCGATTATTAGGTTAAGATAGGAGCATACCGATCATGCGTAATGCTTAGAATAAATGTACTTGTAGTTATCGCCTGTTGAGTGAAACAATTTAACCCTATGTAAATCATATCTAACAGCCGATTAACTTGCGATATTATAATGTTTATGAAAATAGTAGGTTAAATGCTTGAAGGAGACCATCCAAGGACAGCATTCGTTCATGAAGTGACGTTTTATGAAGCATTTACTTATTGATTTTGATAATCATATATTTCTCGTTCTGAATATCTATATTATTTTGAAGCTAATTCAAAATCATAATCAGTGACACCAGTATAAAGTTATAGAGATTGTTAAGTTTCACTGTAGACATAAAACTAACTACTTTGGATTACTATAGAAAACCTGGCGACCTTCGTTTTAGTATGGGACTCTTCAGCAGTGTTCATCTACAAATCCAGAACCTTCGGTCTCGGGCATGATCGCTTATACTCTCATTTCTATCTAATTTCAATCAATCTACAATATTTATTAACCTTACGGATTGTCTTCTGTGGGTAACTGCTTCACATACGACTCGGCTGAACTCCACTGGTTAAAGCTTCTAACTATAATTCCAAGAATTCCCTCTTGTCCAGCGACAAGAAAGAACACTATAAATAACTTTCAAATGAAATACTATACATCAACACTATGTATAATTTGATATATCATATAATTATTTTGAAAAAACTAACGCTAATGTAGCAGTTGCATAACTAATATATCTGTTTTTGTGATTGTTGTCTGACAAATCATAAATCATAATTACAAAATAATTATTGATTTTATATTTTAATGAAAAATTACCCATGAGAAAATTGAATAAAAACACAAATTTATTTTCTTTTTACTACTAAATCATGTAGTCAGTTACTTTCGTATCGTACACAAATTAGTTTTATCATTTGTTATTTTTAATATCAAAATCCAAAAATTATCCTACTTTAGTGCATTATTGTGTGGCTATCTATGCTTGTGTGTGTGTGTGTGAATTTAGACGATGGACATATTTTTCTCCTTCGATAAGAATGGAAAATTGAATTAACTAACTGACTGACTAATTGCTCGAACCATTTATCCTACACAAAATTTTTTTCAGGCCCAAAACAGCATAGACTATTACTACTGCTGCTACTGTTTCTGTTACATGATTGGTTGAATCATGTGACGACATACATACAATATCAGAGTGATCTGATTGGTTGATGTTGAAATTTCATTCATGCAACTCATTGGATAAATATTATCAAAACACATTTGTGTTTGAATGCATACACTCCGTACATCAATTTGAGGATTAGCCTACTTACTGGACATTGGAAATTCGATTATGTAATATAGACAAGTACATCTCGTTCATCAAATCTAAAAATAGATTGTTATGGCAAATTGTAATTTTGCAGTTTTTTGCAGCTAAAACGAAATAATCAAATATATGATTGTTTAACTTATTGCTTCTTATCTTATTTCTTCTAGTAGTTAGAATGAATTTCTTGTGGTTTATTACTAACGCCTGTTACCTCTAACCGAGCATAGACTGCCGACAAGCATCCTCCAACGAATTCTGTCCCAAACTTTCCTTTCCAGTCTTACCCAACTGCTGTCCTTTCTTTTAATTTCTGCTTCCGATTCTCAGCAAAATGTTCTTTTATTTGTAAATCCCAAGTTCAGGCTTGCCTTGATTTGCAGTTGGGTGCTATCCTCAATGTGTATCCTGTTCACCTTCAGAGCTTTTTCTTAATTTATTCCTCGGCTAAAAGCCTGTTTGTTTTCTCCCACAGTAGGTTGTTGCTGATAGTGTCCGGTTAGTGAGTCTGGAGTGTACAGTGATACATCTGTAGTCCTCACACTTTCTGACGAGTTGGGGGAAGTAGCTTTTTCTTCTCAGCTATGCTATTGCATCACAAAGCCTGTTCCCAATGGAATAATTTCTGAAAATAATGTCACGCCAGTTATTGACATCTAGTGACGATAGTCATAGTTTTTCGAAAACACCCTAAAGCTAGCAGTAGTAATCAAACTATTCTTTGACTACCGATCCACTAAACAAAGAAGGATTCTTACTTTTAAAGTAATAAAGGTCATCAGGTTTAGACGACCTATCCTTGGCTCATTTATAAAGCGGATTAATATAGTTAGAGTTTTACAATTGAAGAAAAAGAACATTGATTATTTCAAAATAACGATTAAGTATCTCATTTTAACAGCTTTAACTAAGTGTTTATATTTTTCAACGTAAATTTTGATATGATATATGTACATTGAACATTGGTCAATAAACAGTTGATTAAAACAAATGTCTTGAAAAAGAAAATTAATGGAAATAAATTCAATGACAAGTTTTCATCTAATGTTATAGTTTTTTAAAAATCCTCAAGCATTCACTAATGTCAGAATAAGATTGTAAATTAATTCAAATTAAGGAGTGATATTTGGATTATTCCGTTATTTGATATTTTGATTGAAATCCGGTCATTCTGCGATATGGGATATGGGCATCTTATACAGAGAGCCATTAAGACACAAGTTTACATAAAATAGATAGAGTGTGGTTAGCATTAGAATGCACAATAGGTGTTTCTTCCTACTTAGAACCAGTTTGTAGTTGAATGTAACTTCATTGCAGATTGAATTAAATCTCATTATCCTTACACTAATGAGTGGCTTTAAGGACTCATTTGCTAAGTTGATAAAAAGATGGCATATAAAGCCAGCGGTACTGAGTTTGAGTCCCAGAATTAACATAAACTTTGGTATGTGCCAGATAAATCCAGTTATAGACAGTTGCATAATCGGAAGAAACATGTCTCCTAGATTTGACTAGACACATTCTATTTATTCTATGTAAACTTATTTCATAGTGGTGGCTAACATCAACCCAATCCATATTGGATGCTCATAATATGCCAATCGAGACTTATCAACTTCGCTTAGACGTCATTAATTAGTTTGAAAAATTAAAATTAAAAGTTAGAGACAAAAGTTAAAGTCAGTGATTAGAAATATATAGTTATTTTTCGGGGTTTTGTTGTCTCTGATGTTTCAAATATTCACTTGTTATCGTTCCTTTTTATTTTCTAAACATTTTTTCCTATAGGGTATACATCAGCCAAAATTAATCACATTCAATGCTAAGGCTGAGGCTACTGAAATTATTGGAAATGATGAAGCTGTAACAGGTTAGTTCCTCTTTTTTATGATATTATCAAATTTTATTTCAATGTTCATTTTTACAAAATTATCTAAACATATAAACATTTATAAAAATAGGGTCACCTAAATATTTATGTCTCACATAAGTAGTTGGATTTGTGAATGACATATGCGCCAAAACCAAAGCCGGTGGTTTTCTTAGGTGGTTACATCCAAAGCCTTTGACCTACAGGTCGAATCCACGGGTCAGTGAAGTAGTCACATGGTAGCTGGTGACGAACAATAAGTTCCTTCGCCATTTGTCCGATTAAGATCCTGAATTCCATATTCATCACAGATTCGGCATTTGAGCTTTCAAACCCCTCTAGATCGATCCTCTGTACTTACCTTCCCGGTTTAAACCGAGGTAGGACTTTCAATTTCCATCCTATTTATTTCAACACAGCACACTAGACATGAGGAGGCAGTAAGTAGCATTGCCCTATTGGGATTTAATATGTTGCATTCTTAATTTTGAATGGCTCGTCCCATCATCATCTACTTCATTTACTTTTTAGGTTAATTTCCTTTTTTCAAATCATTTATCATTTGAATAATATACTATATTAAAGTTGATATTAACTATGAAAATAGAAGAAAATTTCCATTAATTTCCTTCATCAAAAAACAGTCATATGCTCGTGAGCAAATTCACGGATTTCCAGTGAGAAGCCATTACCAAGGGAATTCAACTGTAGTTATTCAATGAAGACGATATCATTAACTGTGTTAAACGCCGACTCAATGGTCAAGAGGCTGAACGTTCACATGTGACTCTCAAAATTCTTGCTTAGATTCCCCCTTGTGGAGTTATGAGTGCGTGTTGCTGAGGAGTCACATAAAAAGACGAAACAGCTGTTCTATGCTTACAGTTTTCTAATGATTGTTTAGCTAAAATCAATTTGTAATTTTTGTTAGAATCCCTCAAGCAATTTTTTGTTTAATTCCAACAAAATGAATATTATTTTTTTTAAATATCTATGCAATTTCAGGTACACGTCGTGGTGAATTATTTGTATGGAATTTATTAACTGGACGTGTAATGCGTCAGATACAAATTAGTGCCACATTAGAAGGTGGTAATCTGACAATGTTACCACCACATACTGAAACAATACATTGTATTAAATTATCTGCTGATGGACATTATTTAGTTACTGGTTCACAAGATCAAACAGCTAGAATATGGACAATGCCTGATGAACGTTTATTACATACTTTAGAAGGACATGCTGATGATGTAAGCTATTAAATGATAATATTATTAATATTAATATTAGAATAGATATATAGTGTGTAGATAGTGGAATGAATGTAAGACTGTATGTTTCGTTTTGTTCGAGATTTGTCTTTAGCTGAATGTACCTGTCACATCCCATAGTTGATATTCCCTCCGGAGCCTCGAACCCTGTAACGTTTGCTTCAAACGTTATCACATTATTCACTTATCTACTGAACCCAGCGTTTGGAGTGAACGTTACTTGGTTCGAGTATGAAATCAAGTACATCCATATATAGACGTGAAAATTTTAGAAATTTTTCAAAATGAATTAAATTTTTCTAGTTACTGACTGACTTCTTCTGAATTATCGTTAGCAGTGAAATCAAGGACTAGAGTTCTCTAACACGTATGACATTGGTCATTGTTCGGTGAAAGATCACTTATATCAGTACTATATATAAGTCAGTTGCAGCCTGAGTAGTTTAGTGGTAACGTCTCAATGTGTGACTGGGTGACAGGGGCTCGAATTCGTCAAGGAGTATCAGTTCCTTTGAGAATACAGGTACATTTTGCTGATAAATGCGAAATAGCATTAAATCCATGTCATGTAGAGTTTTCTGTAGCCAATCTACAAACACCAACTTGCATCGAAACATAGTATTAGCTTTCCTTTACTATCAAAGACTTATCCCTTAAAACGAACCTGCTTTTTATTGATTTCTATGTGAATTTTGAGATTTGAAAGCATTGTCTATCATTTCAAATGTGTTGTTTAACAAAACGAAAGTAGAAAAATGAACATGAACAACTGCTAGAATAGACTTGAGAAAGTAAATTCAATTTTTAACCAATCAGAAAGCAGATTATGAAAATACTGTGTTTTAGATATAAATGATGATTTCAATTGGGTTTCTTAAAAATTTTAAGGTTTTCAAAAATTCTTGATGGTTTAATTCACAACGACGTTATGTATATATATCCATCTTTATCACTGAAAGGCCTTGAATTTGTTTGTTTAAGTTAATTCAAACTTTATTTTGAATCATAATCTGAAAACAATTCGATGTTCGCATCAGAATCACGTGAAATGATTAGTGAAATAGATGGTTTTCTTGTAAATACATTATTATCACATGTTCGTTCAGTAGTAATCAAACAGAGTAATTTGAATCGTAACATAACTTTCACATAAAACTTTCTAGTTTGATTGGTGTTCAAATTTAAACATATTGATTAATAACATAATCAGTGTTTGGATGAAAGTAACAGTTGAACAATAAAAAATAAATGTCAAATCATGTAGAACTCAAGAGAAGTAATAATTTCCAAATATTTTCTACACTTTTTCTTTCATTTTAGGTACTCAGTGTAGCAATCTCATTAGATTCAGAAGTAGTTGTCACTGGTAGTTGGGATGGTTCAATTCGTGTATGGCGTATACGTGATGGTAATCAAATGTGTTGGTTCACTTCAAATATTGAAATATTACAAGTGAAAATCAGTAATGATAAACGTGCTCTAGTAGCATTAGGCGAAAGAAGTGGACATCGTAAATTAATTATGTTACAAGTGTTGCGTAATCGAACAAGAACAACAACTAATCTACGTACTGCTGGTTCACGTATCACTTCATCATTATCACCTCCAACACCAGGTTATTCACCATCATCTCCTGTTATTATGGCATAGTTGAAGAAAAGAAAAAGAAGAAATTAATTTATCAATTAATATTTTTATTTATACAAATCAATAATTCAATTTCAATGATCATTGAGTCTCTTCACAACATACATCATTACTGTATTCTTATTGGCTTTTCTTCAACATTAAATACACATACTGTTTCACCATTCTGATTGATCTCAATTCATCTAGGGAGTTATATTTTGTAAAAGATTGAACAAGCCAACAGTACAAATATTATCATTCGTCTTCCTATTACTATTATTATTAGCACTATTCATGTTTAAAATATCAACGTCGGTATACAATACAATGTCGTTCTAGTTGTATATTTAAGTCTGATTAATATATACAGCCTATAAATAATCACAGCAAAACGGAATAACGATCAATCATTGTTTTTAAAACAAATGAGTTTCAATGTTCAATTTTCATTGAATCATTTATTCATTTATCCTATTTATTCATTTATACAAAATATCTATCTATCTATAGACTTAATATTTTTTCAATAAAATGTGAACAAGTTTTTTTTTGTCCAAAAAATGTATTGTCTTGCTTTCATAGTATTGTGTTTTTTCTATTTTAAATGAAGAAAACACCTTTCTTTCTAAAAAAAAATGATATAAATATCTATTTATAAATTCAGACAAGTTATACATATGGACAAGTATATTATATATCTACACACATATATATGAATATATATATTTATTTACTTATTAATACATGAGACAAACTGATAAAATGCATTTAGCAAAACTTTATTTTATTCAGCTTTATCTTCCTTCCGCTATCAATTGTGACTACATTCTTTCTCCTTTTCGATTTTTTCTTCAATATTTGTAATTCTGGTGTTTTTTTTTATCTTCAATTTTATGGCATCTATTATTATAGAGAGAGAGAGAGAGAGATAAGAATATAAACAAACAGAAAAATCAATAATGGCGATGGTTATCATGATAATTTCTCTTTTTTTCTTGAATTTAGGGATGAAAAGAACAAGAAGTAATATAGAGCAATGCAATCTGAATTATTTTATGATTTTAATTGATAAGTTAAGTATTGTTTGTTTGTTTGACAAAGAATAATTATTCTTTCATGCATAGATACATAATTCTACACACACACACACACACGTACACATTTATTTATCTTATGTGTATGAGTAGGCTGTCTGATTGTTTGTTTTCAGTTTATAGTTAATTGTGTGCATCCTTTTGATATTAAAGATTTCTTTTCTCTTCTTTTGCTTCTTGTTGATCCTTCTGTAATTTCTTTTTCCTTATGTTCAATCAAAACAGTCTAGTAAATTTTCTCTGGTTAAAACCAATTATAAAATTTTATCTTTTAAAATGGAACATACAGTTTTTCATATTTATCTAATCTATTCCAACAATTTAGATAAATGAAAGTCAAAAAAAATTTAAAGCATTGTCTCTGTGATGTGTAACTTGCAACCTTTTAAAATCAACTCTTTCCACATAGGTTAATATATATATATATCTATTTTCTGCAAATACTATCTCCATTCATTTATTCTGATGCATATCTACCACTTTCAACGAATTTTTTTTTGTTCTAGCCAGAAAGAAGTATTAATAATCACAAACGAAGTTGGCAAATTTTCTTCAGTATATAATAACTAAGGTCAGGAGGATATTGTTGATTGGGGAACGCCTTTAAGGGAAATCTTACAAAAATAGTATTAATCATAGTAATATTAATAATACTGATGATCATTATTATCATTAATATTTCAGGTATACATAAATAAGTTTAGTCAAATATCTGTTTTTCAGCTGTTGGAAAAAATCATACTCTGATATATAAATGATTTACTTGTAAGAACTAAAAAAACTCCCTTCATATATCGTTTTACAATATAGTTGTTTTATTTATTACATTTTTTCCTCATCTAGTTGACATTGTATATTTATACTTATCTAACTCTAAACAGTTTACTGTCCTTGAAACTATTTTTTTTTCCTGAAGGATTTCTACTCACAATTAATTGACCTTGTGTAAAAGTCGATATTATCAACAACTGATGTGTGTAATTTAAAATTAGCCAATAGTCTTTTAGAAAATGAGTCAACACTGCTTTCAAATCAACCCTTAATGCATGTCATTTACATGTGTCTGTTCATCTTACAAATCTTTCCATGTTGTACACCTGCTTGAATCACATCCATTGACTACCTAAACTAATTTTCTATTCACCAATCAGAATGTTGCCTTTTATGAAGATGATCAGATGAAGAAGACTATTGAGAAAAGAAATTAGTACCTAGTTATATTTACTATAGTTATTATTATTATTACTATTATTATCGTATGCCTTTTCTGTCATTTTATGCACAATGTATGATGCTGTACATTTTCTTCTAATCAATCTCTACTCCTTTGCCGTTTTTTTCTTGTTAATGAAGTAACTGGTTTAATAGAAACAAAACTTTTTGTCGACAAAAACCTTACAATTTTATTTATTTGTCAAAAAAGTAAAAAGAAAATGATCTGTAAAAACAAAACTTTTCTGATTATCACTATACATATTGACATTAAAGTTGAATATCTATGCATATGTATGCTGCTTACGAAACGTACAAATTTTTCACGTATATATATATAATAAAAAGCTTGTTTGCAAAGATGTATCAGTTTCGGTTTTTTTTTTCCAGATAGTGGATTTTCTCTATCTTAATATGATGATATTATTATTCAACAGTATAATAGTAATTATTATTATTATTGCTACTATTATTATTATTACGATTATTATTATTATTATTCATATTATTATTCATGTTTATTGTAAAAGACAACTTTGCTTACATTTTTCATTGTTCTTATTAAATATATAGGAATTCAAGTGAAATACCGCAAGACTTAATTAGTATCAATTAGAAAATGTACAGGGCAGACAAAATTAAAAATATCTGTGACTTTCTTGGTTACGGTATGATACATTAAGACCATTTTATGAATTATGATAGTACCGTGAAGAGAACTGTTTCTTTGCCCATTATTAAGCATTCTAATTCAGATTGTTGGAAAACATGATTTTAAGCAAATATTTGTATTTTCATAGTTATATTCATTAAATGGTCTAAGTTAGGCCACCATTAGAAATCTAGTATGGAACTCACTATCAGTGTACATCCACGAACGCGGGAGCGAGAATCGTACTCAAGACCTTCGGTCTTGCGTGCAGACGCTTAACCTCTAAACCAGTAAGCCAGCATCCAACGATGTTAATATCTAACTTTAATTAATCTGTGATGTTTCTTAACCTGTCGCACGTTACTTTCTTCTACTCGATACCTAACTTACAGTATATATATTAAGTGGTTTGGAGATATCTGACAAGAAAGTCTTAACCAAGGTCATGTGGTATTTGACGCTCGTCATCAAAATTTATCTGTAATATTGAAGGCATTGATGTTCCCCAGTGAATTTAGTTCGTACTTAAAAAACTACACAAACATAAATTTGGTTATTGTTCCGATTAATATTAACGTTTCAGATTGTAGAATTAAGAGAAACGATTGTACTTTTCAAAGGGCATTAGGTCAAATAATTTTATAGGTGAGCCTTATTGCTGAGAATCGAAAGTTTAAAAATTTAGGTTCCGAGTTACTTATCTACTAAAAAAAGCCACCTAACATCTCAACATATTTTATGCAATTTTATTCATTTAGTCTAGTAATGTTAACACTGGATAAACATGACAGCAGTCACGATCACTTGTTTGAATTTTAAAGTATCCACTTATATAGAAGATATAAGATATTCAGACGAATTGTTGGACGTCTTGTCCAATAATTACTTAGCCAGCGATGAAAGGTCAAGATACAAAACAATCAATAATCCTTTATTCCTGTCGAAAATTTCTTACGTTAATTTTTCATTCTACATTACTAGAGTTCCAAAGATTTTACTTGTGTATCTAAAGAGGTTTACAGATTACAAAAACCTATTCGAGGCATCAATATGTGAATGTAAGTATCATTTATTTGTATAGATAAGTATTTCTAATTGGACGTGCTGGTTGTAAACAGAGAACATTTAAGTTTATCCATTCCTACTTAGATTGATGATGTCATTATCTGTAAACTAAATGTTAATAACACTTACACGTACGACAACCAATGTAGATTAACCTATAGGAAACCTATTTCTACGAGAAAGGCAATTTCTCTTGAATGACTGAATTGAGCAAATACTTTGGTATTTCAGTCATTCCTATTCACATCCGCACAAGATTAGGTGTAAAAGAGAAATTTCATTTTATATCCATATTACCAAAAAAGTATTTTATTGTACGGTTAATTTCTTTTATTACGGTCAAACAGCTTGCCAAGCTCCCCACACTTCTAATCCGAATCCCAGAAAATGATCATATGAATGGTCTAAAATACCTCAAGTAATTATGTAATTAAAATATAAGACAGTCGTGAAAGCTTAATATTTACACATCAATAGGAGATGAAGAGAATGCAAGAATTTTAGGATAGTATTATGCTTTGAACTGAAGTTGAATTGGAAGAGTATAGTTCTGTGTATGAAAACAAAAGAAACATAACTTTGGGGCACAAGAAAATTATTAGACCAAAAGTAGCCATCCAAGAATAGCAACGGTTGTGCAAAAATTGTTATTACTATTATTTTTACTAGAGAGAAATTCCTGTCAATTGATAAAAACTAAGTAACTCGAAGTTTTTCGACCATCAACGATTGGTTACAAAGAGGATATTTTTGGGATAATATTGATTAATAAGTTTTTAAATTAATAACTAAATGTAATCAATAAAAAAATGAAATTAAGCGAAAATGATTTTATTTCGAAACATGTATAACAATACTATCAAACGATTAGCAGAGATAGATGGTAGCTAGCAGTGAAATCCAAGACTAGCGTTTGGTCCTGCTTCTGACTCGCCTTTAGTTGCATATATCTGCCACATACCAGGGTATGTGTTAATTCTGGGGCACGAGCCCAGTACTGTCCACCTTAAATGACATCATGCTATCTACTGAAAGCACCGCCCTACTTGTGGTCTCCGGAACGTTATTGTCGGCCCCTGAAAATCCGAACGAGGAAGTATAATTACCGTGGCAGTGTATATCCATATCCGCAGCCGATTTCAAAGGAGGACAGGTTCTAGCAATTGAACAGTGTAGGTAAGGAAAGTCCGAAAATCATATCCGTAACTATGGCAGAATGATTGGCTCCGGTGGCCGAAATCAGTTATGTTTCGGTCCAGTTGGGGGGGGGGGCTGGTTTATTTGCTGCCTTTATGTTTTCTCCAGTGCACATTGTAGCGAGGTTTCTGAGCTCCGACTCAGGTCGATTGTGGGAGACTTCAACTGTTGGTATTGTGCAGCTAGCAACACTCAGGGGCTTGTGCTTCCACAATCTGGCGCGTGACAGCTAACTCAAAACTGGCACGGGCCAAGGAAATCCGATTATATAATCAAA